ACTTTTTGCAGGGGTGGCAATAGGTGCGTCTTACACAGGGGTCTTGTCATGTTTCGAGTTGAGAACATGACAAATGTGGGTATGATACCATAGGCTAATATTTTTGAGGATTTTTTATTTTCATTATTTCAAAATCTGCTTGCAACACACATTCTTTGTTCTCCCAAGCAGCTGAGCTGTCTTAGCTGAACATCCCCCTCCCCAAAAACCCACTACCAAAGCTCTTGATTAAAAATAACAGGCAAACCTGCAGACAAATGCCTTTTAGTTTTGCAGAATTATGTACAATTGAAAACAAGGTCTTATAATCAATAGTAGGTTATGAGTGGTTTTAGAGATGTGAGATCCATTGATGATGAAATCTATGAAGAAATTCTAATCCCTAGGCCTATATAAATATATATGTATGTGTATATATACACACATATCTACATGTGTGTATTCCTGCCAACATATGCTTTCACTTCACAGTAAATGTGTAATGGCTCACCCTTCTGTCATTGAGAGAGGAGTAGTCTCAGTTACTATGGGGCAGAATCACGCATGTAAGCAATTAACTGTGGATTATCTGGTGTAACATAAATTCACTGCCTTTGGGCTTGAAAGTGACATACCCTGACTTCCTACCTTGTATGCTGTTTGCTTGTTTAACACAAAATAAAACCCAGGCAATGACCAGAACCTTTGTCTGGTAGGTCTTGTACTTGCTGCTGCTGTTGTAAGGTCCCCTTTGTGCTGGAGCAAGCTCTCGAGAGCCTGGATATTTTGCACTGCAGGGGAGGGCTTGCACTGAAAAAATTAGCTGTTACAGATGAATATTTCTAATGATAGTTGCAATACTAAACTTTTACTGGTACTTTGGGACTCAAATGGAGCCTGTCCCTTGAACATAGTGGTTTTAGTTTCAAGAGTGTATCTAGTATTGTGAACTTCCTGTTGTACGTTTAATTGCCAATGCTGTCTCTCCTAGGGCATCACAATTTAAAAACAGCTGATACATCTCAATTGGCCTTTAAGTATTTTAATTCAGTAACAGTCATCAGAGGATTGCAAATGACACTGTAGTAGCGTTCCTGTATTTTCTGGAGTGCAGTAAAATATCTGAGGAGTTTAGCTTGTGTGTTGTATTGTAAAAAAAAATGATGGGCTTTCTTCATCTAAGCAACTTATTTTTAACTCTGAAACTCTTGAGTTTATTTTCATTTTTGTTTATATAAAAGGGACAGTAGAATATTGCATTCGTCTTTAGTAGGATTATGCTGTGCGAAGCAGATGTTAAGCTCCTGTAACACACAAAGGGGGCTTTATGTTCTTTCACATCTGTCTCTGCATAAACAGCTCTGTTAACTCTTTAGAGCTCATGTACAGAGCTCTTTGCTTCTGTTAAGAGACTGCCTCAGGAAGGACTTGATGGGGTCCCCGTTTCGGGGGGGGAAAAAAACCTCTGAGAACCCAACTGAAGACAAATACTGCCCTCTCTGACTGTGTCAGCTGCCAAAGGAAAGAACATCTCTATCTGTAGAGAAAGCTTGGGAAGTTGTCGTGTTTTACTGCCTTGCTGCTTACACAAATAGTGCAACAGGAAGTCAAAAGCGTTTTCTTAAAGCCCATGTTGTAAAGCTGCTTGGCATTTCATCTCATAGGCAGCTCTAGAGAGACTCTTTGCACTAGAGAAGGGTTTGAACTCTTGTGCCAAAATCTATTAATGAAAATTCTTCATACCAAATTGATACACATATTTTCTTTTTTGTGGAAATGGAGAAGTATCATTTTGTCTGTTGAAACAATGCAGTTGTACTTTTCCTACTAAGATACCACCTCTAGCTTAAATTTAAAAGCTCTTTTCAACCTCTTAGTCTCTAATAAAGCCTTGTTCCTTTTTTGATCCTGATTTATCTTGGCTGTAGAATGTGAATGCTTAGAAATGTCTTTCATTGAGTGCACATGAACTGACAGTTACTGTGGGCTGTGCTTTATGAATTGCATCTTACATCTGGTAACTAAACTATCTGTGCTGTGGAGTTGGTGCAGTGTTGTGTAATGGCTTTACTACGGTGGGAAGGGTGGAGGAGGAGTATGGTGGTGCTGTGGGTTGGCCTTGAACGCTTGGAGAATTTCAGTACAGGATGAAGCATTGCCACCTGCAAACCTTTGTACTGCTCTTTCAGGACAGGCTTGAAAGGTGACATCTGGCCATGATAGTATCTGTAGCAGGGTTTTACTACTGATCTTGGTAGGAATAGGCTTCCATCCTTTCTGGTTCCAGGAAATTGGTGCTTAGCTACATAAAAATTTGCACCAGTTGAATTAAATCAGTTTAGTTTCACTACAGTGAACATTTGTAGTGACATTGACATTTTTTTGTCTGGTGCATGTCACCTGCCCATGGCTGATTTAAGTGTGAGTACAAAAGTCACTTTTGTACTGGAATATGTATCCTAATGAATTTAAATTCACACTCAGCACTTCTTCATATGCAGACAAAAGACAAGCCTCCACTAATGAGAGAGAATAATTTAGCTTCCTTCTTTCTGTCATTTAACATTGTGCAGCCCACCACAGCAGAACAATTGATCAGTACTTTATAGCAGAAATACAGCCCTAGGCTTTCCCCAATTGCCTTGTCTTGGTGTACTAGCCTCTCCTGCAGGACCTCTGGACCCCACAGCCGTGGGGTGTCCGCTCTGTTTGGTTTCTTGAAAGGTCTGCCCTGAAAGGAAGCCTAGCTTTGCTGCAGGCAGCTCCTGCTTAGCTGGGAAGAAGCTCAGAGCTGTCAGGTAGCATTACTTAGCAGCTAGATTGGATGTGCTATTGGTTTAATTTACGATTTATCTAGGAATAATCTACTTGTATAATAGTTCTGTGCTGTACCTGAGAGCTGAGACTGCCTGGGGCTCGGTGGGGGGTAAGATTGTTCATCTTCAGTTGCTGATGTATTGCTGTCAAATGGGATGTGATTGTATACTGAAGCTGAAGGAAAATTTGCTGTCAGGATGATGTTGCATTTAAGCCTCCTTTTTGGTATCAAAGCAGCCCTGTAAATTATTGTGGATCTTAAGGTCAGTAGAAATCTTTCTACAGATTTTTTTAGTTATGTTGAAAATAGTTCTTAGTCTGGATTTAAATGTTCCCCTCAAATTTTGGAGACCAGGGGTTATTGGAGGATAACCCTAATCCACAAAACCCAGAAGGTAAAATGAACTACTGCAGTCTTGCTACTCAAAATGTAAATAGTCAAAGGTAATGCAAGAAGATCTTAAAACTAGTTCTTTTATGAATCATAGAGGGTTTTTTAAAATGTCAAGTTGTAAGTTGTCTTAAATTGCTGGGAAAACTGTGGCAGAAAATAACCTGATATTTTGCTGCAAAAACTAGTATCAGCATTTTTGTTCACTGCAAAATCTCTGGTGTCCTCATAGACTTGTTTCTGTGTGGTACACAATGAAATTTCACTTGTCTGAATCATTTGAGTAAGATTTTTCAGAAAAGTTTTATCCTTCTCAGTTTTAAGTCCACTTATAGTGACCAAATGTTTAAACAGAGGCAATCTGAATGAATGTGCTCTTTGATAAAAGATAACAAAGCTCGTAACTGAGAAGCTTTGCTGCTCTTTGGGCAAGCATGGTTGATTTAACCTGGTACGTGTTTATGAATCCCCAAACTCACTGTATTTATTATACTTGAGTCATGCTAAACAAATAGAACTTTGAATCTCAGGAGCCCAGCATGTGTTTCAAGAGGCTGGCATGCATTTTCTTTACATGGTTGCAAGAGTGGCTTGCTTAACCTTTTAATTGGCAGGAAGAAAACTCACTTCACAGCCTGAGCCACAATCAGCTCTGAATAATGTAAACAGCGATGACCTGAACTTGATCTTTTAGACAAGGGACCCACTTTTCTCCGTAGTTGCATTATACAGAAAAGCTAATGCTTTGGGGTCAGCGAGGGGCTTTTGTACATCGAAGGACAAAAAAGCTAGAAAGTGTTTCCTGCTGTTTAGCTAATTAATGCAGGGTAGCACGCTGTAGGAGCCGGCAGTGGTTTTGCTGCCTGTCACTGCTATTGTACTGCCTGCAGAAGGATACAGAGCAAGGCGTGTGGTAGGGGAATGAGGTCTCTGTTTTGCTCCACCTGTTGCAGGACCAAAAAAAAACTGAGGGAATTTGGCTATTGATTCATTCCGTAAGAAGGGAAAAGATGTGGCACTGGAATGGTCAAAGCATGCTTCTCAAAGTTGTAAATAAATAACAAAAATAAATCAATAATACCCTGTGTGTGATGTGATGCTGCCAGACCAGCATTATCTGTGTGTGTCCTTAAATTGTGCTCTCTCCTGACACTGGAGGGCACATCTGAAAGGAAAAGATTGACAGCATTTCCCTATTAGACTTCTCCCTTAAATCATGTTTTATGATGTACTGTAGAATAAAGAATTTTATTTGAGACTTTAAAAGCATATATAACTTTGTCATATCTTGTATTTTCTGATTAAAACCTACTGCAAATCAGTGAGTTCCTTTTCAGTAGTTAATGTAGCAAAATATACAAAGATATTTAGAGTCTGCTCTGATCTTATATTCTGGTCAGGTACAGGCAAATTGTAAAGAGAAAATTCAAGGTGTCATAGTGAACAGCATGTACTGCATACTTGAGCAGTAAGGGACCTAAACCATCATAATTCTTGCTGGAACGTAGCTAGGTACATGCTGCCCGTGCCTGCCTGCTTTCTCAGCAAGTTTTTAAGTGGATTATTAACTAAGTGTAAGGCTGTTTGCAGCATCTTAAGTTTGACAGACATGTGATTGTGCAGGGGGGAGGGTAGGGGAAAAGGGTGGTTGCTTTCAGACAAAAGCATCTCATAGATGAATGTCTTCCAAACAATATCTTGTAGTCCTGTTCCAGATTAAAAATAAATAAAACAAATGGTATATGGGTTTTATGCCCAGACAGTAACTCTTTTGTTGTTTTTCTTTTCTTTTCTTTTTTTTTCTTTTTCCCAGAACTGCTTAATAAAACACGATGAGAACGGATACTCAGCAATAGTTGGAGACTTTGGTTTAGCAGAGAAAATTCCTGATCACAGGTACGTAAACTAATAAAAATATAGCGAGAGTTGCAGTGTGACTGCAGGTCAGAAGCTCTAATGAACCAGATCCCTAATGCCACTATTGCATTCTGATTAAAAATTTTGCAAAAAATATCCTCAGTCTTCATTCTAGAACTGCAGGCTGGTTGACCAAAATGTTCCAGCCTTACTGTCCATTTTGATAGATTTATTGGTGACATTTATTCTTCAAAAATGCTCTAGTGAGTACAGGATTTACTCAAGCTTTTCAGTAGATCTCCTAAGCAGGTACTTGAGAATTTTAAGTTTTAAAAAAAGCAAACAACAAAGCAAACATAAAAGTACTGTCCAGCATTCTGGATTGGGATGATTTTATAATAAATATCCTCTGTTGATTCCAACCAAGTTTAATTAGCTTCTTTCCATTTTCACAAACAATATTCAGTGGCATTCCAGTATTATTCTCTTTAACCTCTGGGCTAGTTGTTAAGATTCAGGTTTGTAACAGAGAGATATTAAAATTACTGTCTAACAGTAGCGCACTATTTTGCTCTCCCTAGGGTGAAATTATAATCTTAACTCATTTGAGGAACACACAGGTGACTGTCACAAGCTATTGTCGCAATTGGAAATAGTCCTTTTGTCGTCCCTCTGTTAGGGAGATCAAGGACAAGGATTTGATTGTTCTCTCTGTTTATTGACTTGTGTATTTCAGAGTATTCTGACTGTGAAATGTGCTGTCAGATTTTCTCCAGTGTATGCTTCTGTGTAAAATATATTAAAGCCTTCCAGCTCTTTTGATTGCAAAGAAAACAATAAAAGTTGATCTCAGCTATGCACTGTTTTTAAACTGTACATATCCTAAAACTGTATCATGGGAGGTCTGAAGGCTTGCATTAGTGTTGATGAAATATTGATCTAAAAGCTTAACAAAGTGAACATTTTAATTTCTAAACTACTGATAAGTACAGCCAATGTGTGCCTTGTACGCTCCAGTGGAATCTCTGCCCTTTAAGGTGCTGAAAGCTTCAGCTGTATTCATGAGAACCCATCACAAAATCAGGAACGAACCACAGGTGCCTTAGGGTGTTCTTAACACCAAGTTTTGAGATGCCCTGAAAACTGAGAGTATAATAATAGCTAAAGTTAAGGTAGCTTGATATGAAAACAAGCAACATAATAAAATTGTTACATTAGCTACCATTTTGGTTTGATGTAGTCTTACGTCCATTTTCAAATGCAGTTGGGTTGTTTCCAGTTTGCTGGCTAGCAAGCCATGCTATCTGAGGCCTTCAGAGGCCTTTTGTTCAATAGGTATTCCTTCAGGGTCAGCTGGGTGTCCAGCTGGAAGCCTTTCTTTAAGGCCCAAATATTTAGCCTATGGAAACATTGCAGATTTTTCAAATCGGCTCTGTTCTGATTACTTTGTTTTTTTCCCTATTAAAGGATTAATCTGGCCAATCTTGACCTTTTTTTTAAAAAAAAAAAAAAAACAAAACAAAAAACAAAGCCAAAACAGTTTGCAAGCAGGCTGTGCTGAATACTTTCAGAGCTGCTTGTCAGTGTACATGTAGGAATGGATACCAGCATGTCCTGCTGCGTGAATGGAGAACTTGACATCTGGCCTGAAACTGATGTCCGCAAGCCTTTTTCTGTATAGATGAAGGAACCCACTCTGACAAGAGTTTGGAAACCAAAACTATTGAACACCTGGGGCCTTAAAATAAGATATATTTTTTAAAAGTGGCCAGGCACTTAGAAACTGGAAATAAAATATGAGTAATTGATTTAAGCTTTCTTTTTCTTTCACCTCTTATCCTGCTATTGAATGTTTTAGTGCCTCCAGTAGGAAACCAGTGTTCGTTATGGAACCCACTTGTATTGACTTCCCTCTGGAAAAAGTTTCTGCAGATACTTGGGGTTATGGAAAGTTAGTAGCAATGCCTGAGCATTTAATTAATGGTTCTTTTTCACCCTCCACCCTGCTTGCATATCTATATAGTGAGAAGTTACCAGTGGTGGGTTCACCCTTCTGGATGGCACCAGAAGTTCTCAGAGATGAACCTTACAATGAAAAGGTAGGTACATAATATAAATGGACTTTAGTTGTCAGATGTTTCTCCTCAATAGCTGCATACAAGATTTAGAATTTCCATAATACTAAAATTATTGTTATTTTCATTTGTGCCATTTCTGTACTTAGTAGGTCATTCAGACTAAGGGAGAGTGTGAGTTGAATAGCTAATATTTTTAATTCATGGTGTGGATTCTTATATGGAAATAGAATTACCTTCAGCATAATTCACTGTTACGCTATTTCCATTCTGAAACATCTCACATGCAGAAATATGATAATAGCTTGTTGACCTAATGCAACTTAATTTAACCAAGTCCATTTTACCAATGTAAACTTGTACAATTATTTTAATTAAAAAAAAACAACCAGTATTTATCAAGGTAAGATACCTGGATAAAAATGTTCTCCAAAGGTATTTCTAAGTTTTCCTATTTGTGGCACCGGAAAATGTTTGTTTCAGAGGAGGATCAGATCACCCTGGATTTCAGAAATAGTGTTTTCAGTCAAGCTCTTCTTTACACAGGGTTTTCTCTTCCCATGTGTAACATAGTCTACTTCAACCCTGCACGTGCAGCTTTTCTGTGATAAAGCCTACATCCTGTACCTTTTTATAGCTAATAGTCAATAATTTGTTTGATTGGTGGTACTTTTAACTTGCAGGAAAGCAGTAGCTACCTCAGTAATGAATAATCACCATTTCAAAGCTTTCTTAAGAGTTCCAATTGACCTAAATTAATAATAAAGTACCCAAATCTGTGGTGCCACATTCTTCACTAACCCTAGGGCATAGAGGACTAAAGAGGAAGTGGGTCTCTTACCTCATCAGCATGAAAGATGACATATAAGCCTGCCTGATATCTAAGGGACAAGGGATGCTGGCTTCTGCTCTGTAGACTTGTATTCCATATTTTCCTAAATTTTGTTACATTATAAATTCAGGTGGTTGGAAATCTGAGCAACTGTGCAGCTCCAGGGGTAGTCAGATAAGCGATTACTAAGCATCATGGAAATGTCCATGTAAGTTGATGCTGGTATACAGCGTTACTAGGTATCTCAAGCTTTGGGAAAGACACTTTTTTCCAGAGGTGCTGAACTGTGAGAAGAGAAAAATGTAATTTTTCTTAAAAACATCATTAATATTCTGGATAAGCTGTGATCATGTGTATTCTAATCCCGTCTTTCTAACCACAGTGATATATGGGCATGTCAGGTTTTGGCTATGTTTTTAATTAATCCCATCTGTAAGACATCAAATGAAACGTTACCATTCTTTATGCGAGGAAGGATATGTATTTTTTTTTTTACACTGCTGAATTAAGAGTGGTTTGGCATTTTTTTCATTTTTATTTTCTTGATAGAGTTTTAAAGTTATCATTGCTATTTGTGCAATGAGAATGCTTTACTGTGAGCATGTGTCTCTTCACATGGAAAATGTTAGCTATAATGCAGTTGCTTAGTGTTGGAAGCCTGTGGTGTTGGTTTAGTTGTTTCATGATAACCATTTGGGGTAAGAAGAATATTCTTGTCAGATAAGAATGCTGAGTATTCATAGCTGAACCATGTGGCTATTTATTTCTCTCTCTCTCAGGCGGATGTGTTCTCCTATGGTATAATTCTGTGTGAGATTATAGCAAGAATACAGGCTGATCCAGACTATCTCCCTCGCACAGAGGTAAGTGGTTACGTTTATAACATTGGTGGGAGGTAGTAAGTATGCCGTGATAATGGCTGGCCTTTAGAACTTCTGGCACTGCTGCCAAAGATACGATGAATAGGTGTTACATTAAAAATAGCTTGTAAAAGGCTTTTGTTCTCCTGTGCTGTTATTGTAAGAAGCTCCATCGAAGACTTTCACACAGACTTTGTCCAGCTGCGGTCCTCATGGGAAATCCCTTCTGCCCCTAACTGGCAGAACATTGAGAATGTTGCAGTGACCTTCCTTTTGTAGAGTGATAGCTCATGTAGACTTCTTGCCAGATTCAGAACAGAGCACTTCTGGCACACTGCATCCGCTAAGCAGCCCCTTCTTATGAAACAGGCAGGAGCTATGTTAGCAGCAGCTAAAATAAACTCATCCTTATTTTTGTATAGACTGTGCTAAGCACCGTGGATGTGAGCTAGAATCAACTAATAAGAGGAGATACTTCTACTTCCCTCACTTGCCTTTTGTTTGAGTCCCAGCTGCAGGACAGCTTTTGGCCCTCTATGGGGAGTCTTCCAAATTGTCTATCCCCCTCTGGTTCTGAAAATGCAAAGTTGCTTAGGTCTCGAACTGCAGTAAATAAGAGATCCTTTTGTTTCTCTGCCCTTCAGATTTTATAGAAGTGAATTTAAGGAACTAGATAATGTGTATTACTAGCCTACCATCCACTGAAAAATTAACCACTTTAATTGGTAAATTTTCATCATAACAAAGCCTCTGGTTTTACAGCAGGCTGTTAATTTACACTGTGAAAGTCACCATGGGGAAACATCATAGTATAGGATATTGCTTCCAGATCCACATGGGCAACATTTCAAGTGCAATGGATTGCAGTTGAGTCCAGGAAGAAGGATGGGCTTTGAAGTCAGCTCATTCTCTTATAGGTATCTTGTATCAAGTAATCCCAATTGGGAATTCTGCAGCTCAGAGTGTGCATGGAGTTTTCTCAAAATCCTCTCTATGTGTCTGCTGAGAGATGTTTTTCATGGTTATTCCTGATAACTCCATGTAGGGACTCCCCTGAAAAGAAGATGCCTTGGGCCAGATAGCAGACCTCATTTATATCTCTATGCTGTGTTTTTGTTTGTACAGAATTTTGGATTAGATTACGATGCCTTCCAGCACATGGTGGGAGACTGTCCCCCTGACTTCCTCCAGCTGGCCTTCAACTGCTGTAATGTGAGTATCTTACTTGAAGGGGAGAGGCTTAAACTTGAGTTCTCTAAATCCCTCTGGCTTTTGAAGATAGAACTTAAAGCATTTATAGAAGGGACTTGAAGAGCCTACCTATTAAAGCAGCATACATTCTGATAATCCAGAAATTCCCTTGCAGTCTTTATAACCTTCCTCTTCCCCTTGCAAAAATGTCTATCTTGTATTTTTGCAATTCTGTGTTCTGTCATGCCAAACAAACAGGTCTGGCACACTGAACAGCTTCTTGCAAGCTGCTCAGGCTGATCATAACCAGTTGTATGCTATTGACACTGGCTGGCCCTCAGGCTGACAAAATCCAGCTTTTATTGTGTACAGACCTACTGAGCTGTGAAGAAAGAATTCCGAGTTGTTCTCACAAGGGGACAAACAAATCAAGAGCAGGCACTCAACTACTCTAAAGTTTCTATATGCTGTCTTTTGGAAGGCGAGATAACTCCAAATCCCTAGCCTGTGTTCCAAAAAATCAAACTTGGACACAAATTATTTAATATCAGTAAGGCTGTAGGCAATGTGCTGTATGGTGTAAATTTTCTGCGAGTTATTCAGGTAAAATAGTGATAGTGCTGAATACCTTCATGGCTCCATAGTGTGAAAGATCAATGGAAGTAGATCTCTTTTGGAGGTTATTCCCTAACAGAGGTTTCTAGTACCTTTGTATAGTAAACTGGTTTATATGGAGTAAGAGAACCTGAGCTTCCACCAAATTCAGCTCAAGTTGGGACATGTCCAGTTTGCACAACTTGAGGCAAGTTATGAAAATTTTATTGCACAAAACTTTGACCAGGACCCCACAACCAGGCCATGCTGGGCCAATACCAGAACTGTATTTGTGAGTGTTTGTAAGAAGTCTCGGAACAGGCTTTTTATTCCTATTACTGATTTATCAAGCTTGCTTTTCATGTCAAGGCTGCTGCTGAGAGAAGCAGTCTCATCCCTCCATGCTCTTGAGGCTCATTTTTGCCCTGAGCTTCTCTGTACTTTTTATTAGTACAAATGCATATGTTCACTCAAGGGGACAGTGGGATAAAGGTGAGGATGTGAGCAGGTGGGGGTGACTGCTGCTCTTGACACAAGATAGCATAAATTAATTAAATTAATTCTAAAAATGTTTGTGGAACTTACTCTGGACAAGCTACTTCAGTCCTCTGATTTCACCTTAGTACAGTGGAGCTTGTTTCACCAGGAGCGGTATGTCTGACTCATGTTTATGAAGTGTTTTGACTACGTAAGCGCTGAAGAGTTTGGCTAGAGGTAGGATTTGACTTTGGAAATCTTGGCTCCCACTTGTAGACTCCAGAAATCGTACTGCATCCAAACACATTGTGCAGGATTCAAAGCAATTTTTCAGCACAGGTGAAATTCAGAGTAAAACTGTACTCCTGAAGAGAGGGGAAGTGACTGATCTTATATTCTCATGTAAGAATTTAGTGTATGTAGACAAAAAGGATTTTTGCCTACTAGTTATTGCTGCTTCCTGTATAATAAATGTCCCTTCCCTGAACTGAAAGTGGAAATTACTGTCTTGTGATCCAGCCATTAATATGCTGATTTCATTGTGGGGCATTCTGTCATTCACTTACCACATATCTAGTAGAAGGAAAAAGGTCGTGAACAGATAAGGCTTTCTTATATCTTCCTAAGTATGCTGTACTTCAATAATAGGTGATCTGTGTGATAATTTTCTCTTAGACATGGACATTTATATAGCTTTTTATTGTTTAATAGGTCAACAAACAGTGTAAACTGTATACCTCAGCTGATTAGCTGAACTAATGTGCAAAGCCCTGGGGTTTTCTACAGCCAGGAAATGTGTTTTAGGGCAACCTAAGAAAGCCAGTAAAAACTGACATGTATGAGTAGCGGATTAAGATGTCTTTAATTTGCTGTTATAGTGTTGGGTTTTTTTTTTTAATAAGTACATGCAAGGAAGTGTAAAACTTATGGCTTCCCAACAACTATAAGCCTTCTTGTGCAAATGCTTATAAAAGTAATAATGTATGATCATGAAAAAAGCTTACCAGCACGAGCTGAGCTGTGGGCAACTGCTGCCTTGAGGAAGAACCTTCTATTCCATTTGAGCAGAATCTGGACTGCTCAGGGATGAAAGAGACAAATGTTGCTCTGAGTCACTTTGCCAGTGCTGCTCTTGTCCTGGATCTTACCTAGCACAAATTAAAATAGCCAGAGAGCTCTTCTTGCTTTCTGTAACTTGCAACAGGTCTCTAAGCTTCCCAAATTAGTAAGTTTGTCAGAGTACAGAGTGTGTGCTTTGGTGTTGCCCCTGCCCTACTCTTTCAGTGAAATAGCGAAAGCAGAAAATCTTGTTTTCCTATGCCAGGAAATTCCAGTTGCTCCATTAGAACAACTTTCTTGCTGCTCTTGAACTCTTCAAGTGAGATTTGTTTGGTTTTTATTACTGCATGTATGAATTTTTACTCCCTTACCCTGTGCTGCTAGAAGGTGTTCTGGTGTTGCTGATCATACCAGTTCTCTTCAGAAAGATCTATCTCGTAGGACCTGCAAGGCAGTATCAGGGAGGTTTCGGGGGTTTGTTGCGTACAAAGCACCGCTGTTCCCTTTGTACTAGAGGTCAGATCTGTCTGGGCTTGTCTGCTCTGAAAAAGCCTTTAGAGGGCTGGAAACAGGAATGAGGTCAAGCAGAATCTTTTTTATTAGTGTAATGAGGTTACCTTTCAGCTGCTGAATTAGACATTACTACCTACAGTAGTTAAACCTGTAACATATTCAGGGTCAATGTTCAAAATGGTGAAATGATGTCTAAGTTACTGCTTAAATTAAGCTGTTTGCCCTCTAGTACAATTTTATTGTTGGACTTTGTTTAGAGATCCATTTCTACTAGGGTGAATAAATAAATACTGATAAATACAAACTGAATACATACTGATGACTGGGAGAGCGATATTCTACTTGGGCAAAGATGGATTTTTTTTCTGTTGTATTACTTTGTCAAATTATGTAACCAATCTTGCTTCCTCACAAGACAGAACAGTACATCAAGTAGTAAGGCTGATTAATGGATGGAAAGACACAACATTTTAAACTTTAAAATCAGCAATGCCATTTAGGTGGGTTTTAATTAAAACCCTAAGAATTAAAAACTTTTAAAGAATGACACAGACAAGTTGCTCTGTTTAATCCTCATTGCTTCAGGCATATTTTGAAATTACATTGATATATAATCTCTGACTGATAACTGGAGTCCAGAAAGAAATCTTTGAACTATGAAACCTGTATCAAACAAAACCCTCTCTCAGACTCAGAATCTAACAGCTTCACACCTTTTCAATTTAAAATGTGTCCTCATCACAGAATATTTACAACTTGATAATTAAATGTGAGAGCTATAATAGACATAAACTGGGACAGAATACTACTTTTCTCCTGCTTTGCTTAGGTTTTTTGCAATGACAACACACTTAAAACGGTCTCACTCAGTTCCTTCAGATTGTCCCTCTGTCCACTGTGTAAATAGAATAGCATGGACAAACCCATATGAACTTATTTGTGTGCATTCACAGATGGATCCAAAGTTGCGTCCTTCATTTGCTGATATTGTCAAAACACTGGAGGAGATTTTAAACCGCCTGAGAAATGAGGACTCAGAGAGAAAGTTTTTGAACCTTGACAACAGTGAAAGAAAACCCAAAGGTAAGTGCCCGTACTGTACAAACATTGCTGCAGGCTAATAGCAGGAGGTTGCAATGCTTCATATTTTGAAGACTGAAATTTCAGCTATATATGGTATTATTTACAGCTTATGAATGATTTTACTCAAAGCCTGAAAATTATTCTGGAACAATGCTATATACTGTGCACTGCAGAGTGTCCTTTGGGAAAGAACAGCTAACAGTTTCTTAAAGTGCCTCGGAAGATTCTGCCCTTTAATTTCCCCTCTGCTCTTGAGGTGAAATTCAGAGTTCTTTCGAGAAGGGTTTTGTAAGTTGCTAATAGCATAGGAAAATTCGACTTTTGCTTTGTCCCTGCCATACTTCATGCATATACATAATTTCTGTGGTCTATGTTACATGTAACAGTTAGAAGCTTCTTAAATTCCTTCACGAGGAAGAGCAGAGAAGATGCAAGAGTATTTACAAAGTACTTGGAAATGCCCTGAAAGACCAGGGAAAAGATGAATCCCAGATCTGCTTGGGAATGCTGGCCTTGACGGGCTTTCTCTAAAGCTGTCTAGTGCCACCTGGTGTGGGAGCAAACTGCAAGCAGTTCTTGTAGTCTGGGGCATATCCTGATTTAAGTGTCTTTTTTGTTACTTCTGGCATTGGAAGCTTAGGAGTACAGTAAAAATAGTTTCTCATATTGTGTATATATAAATACACAATATATATACATATCTTTCTGTAAATATGATTACAGATTGAAATAAGTTCTGTATTTCAAACCACATGGGGTGCATGCATGTGGTAGTTCTCCCGCAACTGGAAAGCATCTAAAAGAGGTGCAAGTTAAAGAGGAAACTTCTTTGGTTGGTTGGTTAGTTGGCTAGCATTTTTGTTTTTATTTTTTCATTTTCCTGGCATTCTCCCTTTGGAGTACATCTCAGATTTGCATCTCCTTGGAGAAGTGTTACATGCTGTTCCTTAACTTGCATACTCGTTCCTAGGTGGAATGACTACAGTCTAAACTGTGTCAGTATTTAAAGGGAAAAGTGTAAATCTGCATGTTTTTATTCTGGAAATGGCAATCAAAAGGAGATATCACTTCTTTATATCCGTTTGTTATAACTCTACCACAGCTCTTCAGAGGCACCTTGAGAGCCAGTGGCAGATGCCTGTTCCAAACACTGTTCCAAAGAGTTAGCATCTTTTCCTAAACAACTACAATTTTCCCATTCTGTTCTAGTGATACAGCTTTTATTTTTATATATATATGTATGTGTGTGCGCATGTGTGCAAATAAATACATGCACATGCATATGTACAACTTTTAAATTCCTATTCATGAGAGTCAAACTCTCATATATCCCTAGTTTCTGTATTGGATAATGTACTGAATGAAGGCTGGGATGGAATGATTTAAACTCTTAATGGTATCAGGAGGGGCATTTATTTTAGTCTTAGACTTTTCCCATCAGGGTGAAATCAGGTCCCAAATTCTTTGGCAATTGTGTTTTGTACTGGCTCTCTTTTATAGTATCATCAAGTGATCTTGGGCAACCTCTGCTGGAAGCCAGGATGATAAATCTAGAAACATGGAAATTGTTCTTCTCCTAGACCACCCTGAGCCACTTCTGCTGTGTCAGTGTACTGGCAGCGAGGAGGTTTGAAGGGGCCCTAAAATAGAGGGTTTGGATAGAAGAGGGAAAAATTTCCTCATTCCCACCAAATTTTTGTACAGTTTTCTTCCTTCGTTTTTTCTGAAGACAATATTGTCTTGCCAAATTAGCATCCCCCGTAACGTGGGTGGCAAATTTGATCATAAAATGATAAAGAAGCGGTCCAGTTTCAGTGCTTAGAGAATTAAGATGGCATTGACAGAATTTGCATTTCCTCAAGTCTTGATGACTTTACTAGCCTGAGGCATGAGTAAAGAGGAAAATTTTAATTGTAGTTTTGACTGCCTTACATTTAAAAGATCCTGTGGGCAGGGCTGCCAAATCTTCACATTTGAAGCCAATAATACACTGCAGAGAAGAGAATAGTGGACTTGTGTTTGTGCAGGAACTTGTAAGGAACAAGCAGACGTGCTTATGGAAGATAATGTGGAACATGAGAAATGCAGCTTTTTCTTTACAGTTGTCATGAAGGCTCTGTGAGTGAGCAGACATGCAGGCATAGAGCTCCTTTAAGCTGAGAGTATTTCTCTTCTTTTACTCAGGGTCAATTGAAAAAGGACCAGGAGTAAAACGTTTGAGTTCCCTGGATGATAAGATCCCACCCAAGTCACCCCGTCCGCGTCGGAATATCTGGTTGTCACGCAGCCAGTCGGATATCTTCTCCCGGAAGCCTTCCAGGAAAATAAATGTGCAGGACCCCTACTATACACCAAGCAAAGGGTTAGGCCGGAAAGTTAATCCCTTCAGTGCCCGGGAGGACCTCAAGGGGGGGAAGATCAAATTCTTTGACATGCCAAGCAAGTCGGTGATTTCCCTGGTGTTTGACTTGCATTCCCCAGAGGCAGGTGGAGGCCTGAAAGCCAGCCAGCCCCAGTTCCGGCAGGCGTATAGCACAGACTGGCAAGAAGTTTCCCTTCTTCCTCGGAGGAGGTGCAGATCACTTCCACTGTCTCCTGAATTGCCGCACAAAGAGTATGGCCTGTTTGGGGGACTGTCTTCAACTGTCAGCAGGTGTGACCCAACTCAGCTAGGCGCAGAGGTTCGGCAAAAACTCCTGAGTAGCAGTAAATACGGTGTGTCAGAGATTCCCCCCTTTCAAGCCAAGGCTCACAGGCCAGAATTTCTTCCTGTACCAGCACAAGAAGAGGATATGGACTGTTCAGATGGGCCAGTGGCCCAGGAGGAAAATGGGTTTTGTGCTGTTGAGAACACGTGCGGAGATCCAGCATGTAATCAGTCATTAGTGCTGGCCCAGCCTGAGCCACTATCTTACAAAAAGCTCCTAGTTGAGAATTCAGTGAACTCTGAAGGACATGGCTCCTCACAAGTGTTTGTGGGTTGTCTCCCTTCTGAAGAGATGGAGGTAGAAGATGACCTACCGAAAAATACTCCGCTGGAGTCTACAAAGCCTCTGTTCAGCGTTAGTCCTTCCACCGAGCTGAAGAGAGAGGCGTGGCCCTTCAGGGAGCAGGATGGGGACAGTCCTGCCCCGGTGCCTCAGACCTCCTCCAACATCTCAGCAAGTGGCAGCACGCAGACAACTTGCGACATATGAAGAGAGGGCTCAAACTGAATGTGTCCTTGAGGGAACAGTTGTTCCCCGTCACTTAAACTTCCTTTATCTATAGCGCTGGGCTTCACATTCAAGAGAGACTCAGCAGATGGTAGAAACTGGCTGTCAAACAGATAGCTACAGATGGCATCTGGAGAGACTGATTATTAACTTTATTTCAAACTGTGCTTATTCCCTTCCCTGATTCGCATTAGGAGGGAGAACTGCTCCAGCCAGAATGGCCATGTGGGCCTCACAGTCCTTCCAAGAGGCTGCAGCCAGAGCAGGCACCATGTAAACAGCTTGACCTGGATTCCAGCATGGAGCATTTCAAGGCCTTAAGCTCCATGTTGGATAGAAACAGTGACCCTTAGGTTTTCCCCTCTTCCTCTGACTGACCAGCTGCTCTGAACCACTGCAGATTTTGTGTTAACATTTTGCAGCAGTGCATGTGAGTTGGAGCCTCTGTTTTAAATGGGCCCAGAGATGTCTCAGAGCTATGCTGAGCGGATAGGAGTGTTCTCTGGTCCCAGAGCTGCTGTGAAGGCTGTTGCAGCATTAAAGCTCTTCTTTCAAAAGCAGTGAAAACAAAACCCCTCACACTGGTCACAATCGGCAGACTGTGACACATGACAAGTACTTTGTGATTAACAAGAAGAATCTGTTCCCTCGTGTTTCATTTTCCCTTGGGATTTGGTAATACATTAGTGCAGGGAAGCAGGATGCGGTAAGCACTGCTCTCCTCCTTGCACAGCTCTTTGTGCACCTCAACACAAATGTAGAGGAAGATTTGCCCAGGGCACGAGAGGGGAGCCGTATTCCAGGCATTGTAATTTCTGGGATTCTGGAGAAGTGAAAGTATCAGTTGTGCTGAGCTTTTGGGGGTTGTGAGCTCTTATCTCTGAAGAGCTGGATGGACATCATGATCTGTTTCTGCAGAATAGTTAGTTAACTACAGTATCTACATCACAGCTGACTATTTTAGCACTAAGCTAGAAGGGTTACATTCACCTCCCTCTCTGGTATGACATCCTGTCTCACTGACATCACTGCAGTAATGATGGCTCCTTATTTAAAACCAGACTGTTTGACAGAGGACAGGAATCCCCTGCCCAGGGTAAGCTGCCAGCAGTGTTGCAGCCACACAAGTGCCCTTGGAGGAGGATAGACAGTAGACTCACAGAAAGGCTTTGAAGGCTGAAGAAAATTAGCTTGTCCCAAATGAACTTTTTTTTTTTCTTCTACTGAAAGAAGCTGTTGTCTTCATTGGCTTATCTTGTCACTGAAGAGGATGACATTTTTCTTTTTCCTTTTCTTTTTTCTTCTCTCCACCAGCAGGCACATGTGACAGAAGCAGCAATGTCAGCTTTAATGCTGCTTGCTGGAACCAGCATCAGAGATCCCTGCTCTGCGATGTGATTTAAAGGAAAGCTTGTTCTGTGTTCATGCTTGTGCAACATTCTGCCCTTTTCCACTGTTGCTATCCCACGAACATACAATTTTTTAATTTAAAAGAAAAAAATTTAACCTATATTATCATTCCTAACTGAGGTATGCATTGCATGCCTGCTGAGCAGATGGTGATGCAGTGGAGTCCACAATTTCAGCCAGGTAGCTTCTTACAGTCTCTCTCTCAGGATGGAAAATGTAAGCTAGTCTCTGATGGCAGCAGGACTATTCCTACTCTTTTCCTGTCTCAAAGAAAGGATGGAGGAGAAAGCCTTAGTTCTTTCTTGGCTGAGATGCTTACCTTTCCAGAGCTGTAGGTAACTATTCTCTGAGTTATGACTTTCTCTTGTGAAATATGTGTTAACGTGAGCAGCAATTACCCCTTTGCAGTGGCTGAGAAGAATTAAATTAGAAACTCAGTGTCTCCAAGTTACTTAGCACAGTCCCTGCCAGATGAGGCAGCTGTTAGCAGTTTGAAAGACAAAATGCCTGTCCTTACCAATATCACCTCTTTGGCCCACACCTCTGCCTCTTGAAGGTGCTGATGAGCAGAGTAGTCTGTCTTGTGTATCCTGGCTGCAGGTCTGGTGTCTGCAGAGTGCAGAGCAGCCTATGGCTGGTGCTCTGTGTGCGTAATTTCCTCTGAGAACAGGGAAGCAGTGAGCAGAACTCAGTTGCCAGATAGTTGCTTGCCTGGTGCCTGCTTTTTTTTTTTTTTAAATAATCTTTTAATTTTTTATACAATTGTAATCTTTCGGGAGGCAAAATATCAGCACCAGCTTCTGTTGTCACAAGATGCATTTAGGGGTTTGACTTCAGGCAAACAAGCAATAATAAGAAGTTTACTTCTGGAGATCCCCAGGCTGCGAGGAGGCTGTCCAGCATCCTACAGCTGCCTGCAGCCCCACTGGAGAGCACACGCATGCCTCTGGCTGCTCTGTGGCTGGCATTAGCCCTGGTTGTCAGTGCTGACACCTCATCATGGAGCCTGTTGCCCTCTGTGACACTCCCTGCAAAGCCTGTGCAGTCAGGCTCGGGGTACCTCTGTGGCACCCATTGCGGTGACCTCACCTGTTTTCCTACACCACTGTCTCTTAAAATGTATCCCTGCTCTGAGTAGCCCTCTTACAAAGCAGCGTGGCTAAAATGTTATTTTCTTAAATGTCCACTCTAAGCACAGCCTGCTGACATGCACAGGGCACATCTATCAGCTTTTCCAGCTCTTTGTGCTGAGGTGGAGATGTCGGAATCACCAAGGAACAGCAGCTCAGGCCTTTCCTGGGTTCGTGGTCTGCATGGGAAAAGAGGCATGTGTATAAAACTGGAGTAAAAGGCCCTTAAAAATAGCTAAATGCTTGCTAAAACCGGGTCTAGATGCCGTTGGCACTCACTACGTCTCATCCCTTTGGTTGTGTAAAACTGAATCTAGGTTGCACCTAGTTACTACTCCCAGGTTTTCTGCCCACCTGAGGGTGCTTTTCTACTGGGGGCCATTTTCTGAGAGCTACTGATGAACATGAACACAAACATGTGGTCAGCAAACTCCTTGTTTTATAGTGATGTGACAAAGTTTTATTGTGATTGGATTTTATAATGATTTTTGACTTTCTTACGGGAGCAGTTCTTGCTCTTTTAAAACACTTTCTACACATTGCTAGGTTCCCTGAAGAGATCAAAGATGTTTTAAATTTACTTTAAATTGATGTTGAATTCATGTAAATGTCTGTTATAAGCTATTTTCGTTGAGGTTGCAGGTTGATAAAATGCAACTAAGAGAATGCATGTGAATTGCTGCCCTTCAAAAGCAGTGCAGACAAGGGGCTGTAGTAGACTTACACTTGTTGGAGAGGCATTGATGTATTATGTGTAACAGAACACTGGTATTTTTTGCCGGTACAACTAAAGACACTTGAATAATTCCTGTTTGCACTTAATGCTATTGTTTATATTGCATGTCACTACATTTCTATGCAAAACAACCTTTTTTTTGGGGGAGGAGGGGCAGCCAGATATTTGATTAAGTATAAAGATCTTTGCGAGATGATCTATTTTCGTATTTATGAAGGAGTTTTAAGTCTTAATATTTTGCAGTCTGTAAATAGCTCAACTTGTAATTAAAGGCTTAGGAAGAAGTTTGTAGCCTGTGTATAATAGTAAGTTAACACTGCCGGAAAAAAAAATCTTTGCAAAACAACTTTTCTAATATTGTGGATATTTATGAATATGTAAAGAAAGCACGTCTTGTTTTTATGTTGATTGACCTTCTGACTTTTTTTGAACTATAGAAATGGTGTATGTTTTATTGGAACTGCAATAAGAAGTAACCAAAGATGAATCCAGTTAAATATTTTCATAATTTTTTCTTGGTCAGGTTTTGTAAACTTTCCCAACTTGCTTTCAGAATAAAAATAAAATCAAGGCCTGAGTCTTGTGATTAAGGGGGCAACTCTAGGTTAAAAAAGCTGGCTCGAATGCTTACTTAAGCTATGGATGACATTAATACCTGGCTTGAGATCGTATTCACTATTACTGGGTGCTGAACTATAAACAGGGTGAATTGTCATCCTTATTCAGTGTTATTTCTCTCCTGCATCTTACTAAAGTGTTACACTATTAAATCCATGAGACTCAAGGACTTTTTCTGCTCTGCCTTATAGTGCTCTGAAGAGTAGGCAATAACTTGTGACCTACAAGACAAGATAGCTTTTGATAGCACTCAGCCTGCACGGAGTTTGCCGCTGTGGCTACTCTGTTCTAGCCCTAGAGAATACCTTCAGTAGCGTAGGAAGCAGTCCAGTTTAAAAGGACCACATCTGGCTTTAAGTTCTACTGCATCTCCCCTTACTTAGAAGAAGTTTGAAGGCCTGCTGTGGCTTGGTTCTGCATGCAGTTACCCTGCACTAGAATCATGTGGACCATTTTGGAGGAGAAACTCTCCTTCCCCTCTCTCCTGTAGGAGCAAAGGTCTCATCTATGTATGTTGTAACCAGGACTAAGGTAAAGTACAAATATGAAGTGGGAATAACTCTCCCAGGTGCATGTTCTAAACCAACTATGGTCAATATCTCTTAAAAAAAAAAAACAGCAAACAGCACAAGACACTTTTTTCCTTCTTAACTTCCTTAGAAAGACAGGAAATAATTGTGAGATGTAGTGAGTGGCTGTACCAGCTTGACTAAATTCATAAAAAAAGTATGCTTTGCCTGGAGAGCTAGCCTGCTTTCATCTAGTGTCTCGCAGAAGCATCAAATCTTCCTCCAGTGACTGTTTATAGCATTTTCTATCAAGTTAGATGTATAAGTCAACAGCTTGGAGCTTTCTGATATGTTTTTGTAGGTAAGACTTTGACCTTTACCACATGGTCCTTTGGAAAAGGTCTATCCCACCCTCAACCACCAGGTTAAGTGGCAGCATGCAGTAAGGCTGTAGGTGCAGTAAGGATAAAGGCAAGATCTAGGAGGAGGTTGGGGCTCTAACATGCTGTGAGTTTGAGTGGGAAGCTCTGGCCTCTGTCTCCTTGTGATAAAAAGGGATTACCCTCTGCCTCTTCTGCGAGAAGTGAAACCCAAGCTAGCATATGGTCTTTCCAGAAAGGCAACCCTAGGCTGGTTTTTCAAAACCCAAGCTCCATGCAGAGCAGTAAACTTGAACCTTGCAGCCCTGGGTGCAGTTGGAGATGTGCACTTTTTCTCCCTCTTCTCCAGCCTCCCCCCCCACCTTCACAGCCTGCCATGCTGCTAAGGAACAACAGGGGGAACTCCAATTGAGAGCAATTTAATCGGTCAGAAGTTAAAGCAAAAACAAGAGCAAGAAACTTGCTCCCCTTCTAGTTCTTGATAGGATAAAGAACTTCAAAACTTGAGAGAAAAAAAAGCCCAGTTCAGTGAGGAGTCTCTGGCTCTATCCACTGGCCCAGGCCAGCTTCATCTTCTGGCTGTGAGCTTTGGAAGATTTAGAAAACAAGCTCTTCACTATTTGAAGTGGCACTGATTTCCCACTGAGATACAGTTTATTGTGGCAGTCTGGCAACCAGGGCCCTGTGCCAGTGTCTGTGTTTTTCCCTTTCTTTAGCATCCAGACATAAGCCATGATATATCCAGTCATGAACGCATCAAAGCCAGCTCGGTGTGTGCCCCCCTGTGAAGGCGGACCATGGGTTTCCTTTTCTGCAGCACATTCTGCTTCAGTCTTGGGGATGTCTGGGTGGTTGATGGAGTCCAACCCAGCAGGAACCTTGGACTTCCCTTCTACTTGGTCACTGTCAGAGGCATTTCCCTTAGCAGAAGGGCTTGCAGCAGCTGCCACCTGGGCAGCAGTTCCTTCAGTGCTCCCCAGATCTTCTTCCCGTTGTGTGCTGGTGTCTGAACTGACCTCTGGTTCCATGTCCATGGAGTTCTCCTCCAGTGGCCTGCCCTCAGTGTTGGGTGTGATCTCTGCCAGCTCTGCAGCAGCTGCAGGCTCATAGCAGCTCTGTTTTCGTGGCGGTTCCTCCTCCCCATTCTGAGCTAGCTCCATTTCTTTTCCTGAGTTCTCCTGTTCAAATGCCTTTGCAGGCTCTTCTGTGTTCTTCCGACGTTTCCATTTGTGCTTCCGTTTCTTCCGCTTCTCCTCACAAAACTTGTCATCCTCATCAATTATGAGATCAATGTTATGAGACTGTGGACACTTCACCCCTTTTGGACACCAGCCATAGGCCTAGGGAGAAAGAGAGAAATCTGTAGACACCAGCCTCCTGGTCAGAGCAGCTTATCACAGTAAAATGGAGAAGAGATAATTATTCCCCTCTACTGAGGGCTTGTGAGGCTGCACGAGGAGCACTGTGTCCTGTTACAGCCCCACAACACACAAGAAAGGCATTGACAAACTGCAGCGAGTGCAGCCGGGAGCTACCAAGATGGAACACACAAGGAGAGGCCAGGGAAGGTGGGTTTGTTCCACCTGGAGAAGACGAGGCTAAGGGGATGTGGATATCTAGTTGCTGTCCGCAGCTACCTGAAGCAGAGGTTAGAGGGAAGATGCTCTTCTGAGGGCAGCATAGGGAAAGGTGAACTGGTAACAGTCAGGGGAAATACTGACTAGGTGTACAGGAAAGCATTTTTCACAGTAGTGGTAAAGCACCAGAACAGGGCCCTGGAGGGGTTTTGCAATCTCTGTCCTTAGAAATTTTCCAAATGCACCAAACAAGGCTCTGAGTAATATCAAGTTGGTGGTTGGATGAGAAACTTCTAGAGGTTTCCCCAACCTATGTTGTTCTCCGACAGTAACGTGCAACATCTGGAAGAGCTCCTTTTCTCCCGAAAGCATCTGAAACCAGTTTTGGTCTGATCAGATGAGCTCTTTGTTTACTGCAGTAGCAGCACCAGGACTCGAGATGCTGTGGATCACGCTGCTATGGTACCAGCAGCTGTAGACAGGTAATATTTTTTACATCTCATCAAGATATGGGAGAGGAAAGAGGCAGCATTTCTTGCTTGGAGAACAAGCCAAACTAATTTAGAACTTACAGCCCTCTCAAGACAGTAATAGCTACTGTGACTCATAGCATCCCACTATTTAGGGCTCTATAATCTCTTTATGAACCTTCATGTCTAATGTAGCTTCTGGAATTCACTGCCTCCAAACAGAGCAGGCTATTATTGCTCTTTCTGTCATGATGCCACCTGAAGCCTGAAAATCTTCCTTGTACTGTGAAGCAAGGAAGGGGCAGTTGCCAGGTGCTTTCCTACCACCTCCTGCTCTGGCAACATGTGGCTCTTTCTGTGAAGCCAGGAAGGAGGCAAGGATTCATGTTACTTACCGAAAATTTCTCACAAACAGGCACCTTATTTCCCTCTCCTACGTTGGGGCTTTCTTCTTCCAGAGAGCAGTGGCGAAAGTCGATGTAACGGGACATGTTGGCAGGGTAGTTGCAGAACTCAATAGTGAGCTGCTGGCCACTGGATTCCTTCAGCTTGCAGTTCTCTCGCTTGCTGGAACAAAGGAGAGTACACAGTTACTGCAGTTAACTCACTGAAGGTACCACAGCATGGAGCTGGTGCAAACATGCGGTACTCTACCAAGTCTCTACTCCACTAGTTTCCTGCTCTTGAGCGCTCAACAGCCTGCTGGAGAGAAACACAGCCCCAAGAGAACAGCTTTGGTAAGTAGTTGCTTCTGTGCTGATTCAAAGGTTGGAAGGTTGGTTTCTCTGTTATGCCAACATACAGGCAGGGACAACAGTGTCTCTGGCGAAGCTATGGGAGAAGGGGACACATAGTTTGATTTTAAATATTAAGCGCACTATGACTTGTGTTAGTCTTCACAATGTTAATGGACAAAGAAAAAATGTCCCAAAATGAGGTATCATGTAGAACGTCCAGCAGCCACCGCCCAGACAGGTTGAACCTGGGCAATGCAGACAACAAGGAAACCTTTTCCATCTCATGAGAAAAGAACTGTTTTGTCCCAAGGGCTGGCTAAAAGGCCCAAAACCTCTGGAAGGCTCCATGTAACCAGAATTGTGGGTTAAAACATTTAAGAGGTCACTTTAAAAAGTATTTTTATCTTGTCAAAACAAAATATTCTCATGTTTGAGAACAGCCATCCTGAATGTTTTCAGACCTGTCAAAATGGCATTTCCTGATATAAAACAGTCACTAAAAATACTGTTTCTCCTCTGTACAGAGCGTGACTTCAGTTTAGTAGAGATGCAAGGGGCTGTATCACTGCCAGGAGCTTGTTTAGATTGTATGGGGAGTGCAGAACCAGGGGCCAGACTGACACATGAAGCGGACAGACATCTCTGCTTCTGACATGTCTGCCTGGAAAATATCCACAAAGAGATGAGGGCAGGAACCCAAGACAGGATGCCCTGGAACACAAGCACAACCTTTGCTTGGAAAGATAGCGATGGGAAGTATAGCTGGCCGCACACGAGTGTCACGTGCAGGACGTGTGACATGGCTGGTCAGCGTCAGGAGGTGCAGGGAACACTCACCCTTTAACTGCATCATCCCTCCCACAGCTGAGCTATAACCAGCAGAGCCTGCAGGCACAGCCGGGTTTGCACTTGCTCTCTAGCTGAGCGTTAAGGGTCTCTTCTGTTTGTGTTCCTCCTGAGGCCCCATGGCACCGCTGGACCAGGGCCTTGCAGCAAATCAATTATCTTTCAGTTAGATCAGGTCACTCTGTGGTCAAAACCGCTGCCAGCGGAAGACTAAAATCCCCTTTCAGCAGCTGCCCACTGAACAGGTAATGTGTATTACAAAATACTCCGTTACGAACTTGGCACCTATCCTAGAAATGGGAAGAGCACGGGGCAGAGTCACCTGAAAAGTACATTTCTTCACTCATTGGGGTAACACACAGACCCAACCCCTTTGCCTGGAAAAAACCAAAACAAACAAAACACTAACTACTCCCTTTGCCTTTCCTCCCATAAGCTTTAAATACCAGAGCGCTGCTCACCACTTCTTGTATGCATACTCCAGGTAGGACGCTACAAAGCGAGTCTCAAACTCTGAAGCATATTTGGTGTCATATATTCCTGTATTTCCGAGAGGTCAGCGGTGAAGGTGCCGAGGTTGTCTGGGAGGTGAGCGTAGAAGCACTGGTACAGGAAAACCAGATCAATCAGGCCATTATGGAGAATAAGAGGCTTTTTTGCTCGTATAAGCTCCAGAAAAAAAGTCCGAACGCTCTGGCTCTGGTTCTCATTGCCCTGCAAGAAGAAGGATTAGTCAGTGAGCCTCAGTGCCTTGACTTCCCATCACCTCGGGAAGTCCTCAGAGCCTGCTGTAGCAGAATACTGTCTGCAGCTATGACGTGCTCTGAACAGAGGCCCAAATATTTGGAAAAGTAACTGCAGCAAGTGACAGCCTGGGTATAAAACAGCAGGGAGGTGAGGGGGGTAATGCTGCGCTCAGGACCCCAGCGGGAGCCCATCTTCCCTGCACAGCTGTGTGAAGGAGAGGCCAAGCCTGGGGGAAGCCAGCCCCCTCCCCAGAAGCCTGGAGCAGAGCAAGCTGAAGTGTCTGAAGAGGAACTGTTCTGTACCTTATCATTGCCCTTGTGGTATGGGATCCCCCGGGAGTACTGCTTGTTGAAGTCAAAGCCATGCTGCACCAGGAACTGCACGGACTGGGGTTCCACGATGTAATCCTCCATGCAGAGCAGCGTCAGGTTGTAGATCTGGCAGAGGTACGTGTTCTCCGACTGCGGGGGAGAGGAGAGCGCGCAAAGCGACGCGGGGACACCCGTCACGGGGAGCTGCCGAACAGCCCGGGGCCAGCCCGG